GTGAAGGTTCCATTTGCTCGTTCCCCAAACTGGTGGCCTGTGAGAAGCCATCTGACCAGAGGCTTAGATCTCCTTCTGCACGGTGACACAGAAGTTGTGATACTGCAGATGCAGAGAAGAAAGCGTTGTCTGCTGCCTGACGTTCTCAGTGGAGCAATGAGCTGCCTCATTAAGTCTGTCTGCCATCCTGACAAGTATGTAGATGTTACACAAGTCATTACTTACGTTATCTGTGCAATGCGTACAAGACGAAATTCTGGTTGCTGAAGTCAGTGAAATGTCTACCATCAATCCAGCTGAATGATGACTTCATGAGCCATTTTCTGTCTTGTATGTGTAAAAAAGGGTAAGATTTTGCTTTTTACAGTGTGACACTTGACCCTCAAATAATCAGTGGAAAGATATTGCTGCTACTCAAGGTCGGTTTAATTGACTATGAAAGGAAATAATTCATAGAACCATAGAACATCCTGAGCAGGAAGGGATCCATAAGGATCAGCTCTGCAGTTCATGAACAAACTCTCCAAACAGCAATGAAGCAAAAAGCAAAAGCTGATGGAAGGAAGAGGATATACCCATGGGCTGTCTGCAGGCATGTGGGCTTCCCAGAGGAAATTGGCTGTCTTAGAGCTGGCTAAGACTGTGATAGAGGAGAAACAAACTCTTCCATGTGTCAGTGTTCTTGTTATTAAAGTTCTGAGAAGCTTGTACACTGTTGATCAAAGAAGGAAGATGACACAATAGGGGAAAAATAGTGCAGTGAAAACATGACACTGAGATGCCAAAATTTGATAGAGAAAGTTGGCAGCTGCATCTTTCAGTCCAAAGGAAATGTATCAGTTCTCAAATGCATCTTCAGGTTAGATTTTCAGTTAGTTTTCTTGGTGTTCTTCAGCTTTAAACACTGGTTTCCTACGAAATGAGTGACTGAAGTGTTTTAGTTAGGTCATCAAATAATCTCTTATACCACATATATATAGGATACAACCTCAAAAAATTCTGCTGATCCCAACTAGCTATTTCATAATCTCAGTAGAGCAGCATGAAGAAAAAAATTTTTCCTTTATGAACACTCCAGTAAAGACAAACCTTCTGTCTGTGTGTCACAGAAATTTTGAACCAGAGGTCAGGCCTAAACATTGGCTATCTCATCAGCTTCATGCTTTTCTGTCCATTGCCAAATATAGACAAAAATGTAATACAAACTACTAAATGCAGAGTGATAAATTAACCTCTTATCTAAAGAAGTTTCATATTGTTGCAATATTCCTCCTGTTTAGCACAATATCATTACAAATCATATCTCAGTCAAGGTAGCCTGGTATGCATGTGGTATGTAGGCCACTAATCCATTAGCTGTAGTTTTAAAAAATAGCAAGAGATTTGTGTAACCCTTCTAGAACAAGTCATTTGTGGATAAATTTCGTTATTTGATTGAGATAAGGCCTCTGGGATCCCTCAAAGATGAGGTCCTCATTCTGTACACACTTCATGTTTTCATCCCCGTGAATTTACAACCTAAATAGAGGAAAGGGGTGAGAGCTTTGGTGAACTGGTGTCTCCGTGGTCATAGAGAAGCCAGGTCTCCTGGTCATCGGCCCAATGCCCATCTGCCAGGCCATAGCTTCACAGAGCCACCTCTGCTTTTTAATATTTGAAAGCATAGTAAATATTGTGTGGTTTTATGTGATTGACAATGCAACAAATGTCAAAGGAGTACTGATTTTCCAAGTCAAGACAAAACACTGTCAGAGGTCGCTGGTGATAGTTGTTATTTGTTAGTAGTGCTTATTGCTCATTCATAATGTAGTCTGTCATTGAAATATTACAAACAAAACATGCAGGCCCCACTGCTAGGAGCTCACAGGCAAGCTGTGCAAAGCATTCATCCCCTCTACCATGGTAAAATATGCACAGCAAACTCCTTCTGATTTGTATAAAATGAAGCTATTTGTTGGATCCATCATGCTCACTTAGCTATGCAAGATAAATAAATCCAGAAACACTCAATAAATATCCTCAACTGCAGGGATTAGCAGCAGGGGAATCAGTTATGTAAAGTATGTGGGTCTTTGGAGTTAGACATGCGCATCGAGACTCAAGGCAGTCATCAAAAGAAAACTTCAGCTTTCCCTGAACTTTAGAGTGCTTTTTCACTAGACTGTAGATTTAAGCCCTTTTTAACTGATGGATTTTTCTTATGAGTACAGGGAGTGTAGCTTTTTCTTAACTGCCCCCCCCAAAATTTGTACAAGAATTACTGGGTAGGAAAAGGCCAAACAGTCAGAAAACTGTGAAACACGGAACTGGGAAGATTCATTCATTTTGGCTGATAATTACTGAAGCATGAGCTGGATCTACTGCTTGAAGGTAGCTTTTCCACACCGATAGGAATGTTATCGGTGCCACATGAAACCCTTATGGAGCAAGGGTTGGGTGGAGAGAAGTGGGATGCCAGGTTTCAGAAGAAGTGGCTGACACCTGCCTCGCTCCAACTTACAGGAGGGAGATGAGGTTCTTTTAATACCTGTATAGCCAGCGTGAAATTAAGAAACAGTGGTTCAAACACTGGTTATAGGTCCCCTTTTTATCCTTCCTCCTGGCATTCCTGGGTGCTTGGGTAAGAGTCATGTGCAGCGCCTCCTGAGTTGGCCATCTTCCTTGAGATAAGTCCACACAAAACACCGCTTCACAGCCATTGAGCTGCGGCTTACCTCTCTCTCATTGCCCCTGGCCTTGTCTGTCTGTGTCCCCCAGACAAAGGATTTCTCAACCCTTGCCCAGGACTTGCTTGGACTGTTAATCTGTGTCCCCAGCAAGCTTTGAGACAATGATGTAAAAGAAAAATCTCTTACAACACCATACAGAGGTGGAGGGCTTCCCTTCACACTGGGGCAATGTCATTGCCCCAGTGACAAGATGCAGCAGATCTGGCCTTGTGTGCAACATGGCAACGTCCAAATTACCCAGAGCCGGTACTGCTGCTGGGCCTTGAACGATTTGTGTGGCTGGGGCCACGTAGGGCTGCTTAGGACCAATGAGGAGGCTGAGGGTGGGAAGGTGTGATCAGTGTCACCTTGACAGCAGTAGTAGGAGTGGACCTGAAGCCTGCTGCCCTACATCTGTCCCATGTTTCCCTGGGTTTCCCTTCCTTTTTTTTCTCTATCCTTCCTAGTCTCCCAGGATGCCTCCCCATGTCTTCACAAACTTCCCAGGCTTTCAGCATTTGCACCCCCCAGCTCTTGTGTTCCCTTCCTGGGGACCCACAGCGCCTTTCTTTCATAGCTGAGCCTGAGGCCATGTCCAATCCCTTAGCATCATCACCCTGCTCTGTCTGCTGATTCCAGGGCATCATTCTCACCCAGGGCTTTTCCTTTGTACCCAACAAGGAAACTCCCATTTTCTAGAGCTGCACTGCAGTGAGATCTGCACCTTCTCCCCTCAGCATATCTCTCCTAATAGTGTCCCTGTACCCTCTTAGAAGGGTCCCTCAGCAGGGACCTTAGTACAGTCTCTAGAAGTGGTCTCTCACAGGGTTTTTTCATGGGTTCAACACCTCGGGAAACAACCATCTGCTTTATGTAATGTCTCTAATGACAACCCTTTCACTTAAAAAAAGTGAATTCTTTTTGCTGTCAGCCTTTTAAAGCTTGGTCTAAGAAAAAATATCGCCAGCAGAAACAGCTGAGTTGAAGCAAAGGGGCCTTCCTACAATGTGCAAAGTGCCGACGCTGTGTGCGGTGTCAGCTCCACCACTGAGCAAGCGAATGTCTGAGAGGAAGAGATGCTGTAAATCAAGCGTGCATGGCTCTGGCAAGTGCTTGCTGCAAGCACAGAGGAACAATCCACCTCAGCACCCAGCTCTCGCACGTGTGCTGAGGCACTTACCCAGCCACAATAACTGCTGCTGCGGGCTATCTTTTCCCTCTTCATTGTACAGGGATTAAGGCTTGGCTGCCTTGATGAGAAAGCTGTCCTGATTGCTTGCAGTCTTTTAGCATTCCTGGTTAAAGTGGTTTTAAAGTGACAGCAAAGGCAATCGGAAAACTGTTCCCAGTCCTTCCTTTGAAACAAACTTAATTGGAACATCTAATTAAATGCAAAGCAGACTCAGCCCTGCTTGCTTCCGCCAAGCCCCTCTGTGGTTGCAGTGCTCATCCTGCAAGAAGGAAGGGTAATTGGGGGAAACATGGGCTGTGAAAGCAGAGTGAACGGTGAGACTGGCTGCCTCTGCCTCTTACCTGCCTCTTACCTCAGGCAAGTCGCTTGGGCAGTTGGAATTCTGGTTTTCCTACTTTTAAAGGAAGAAGGAAGACAACTGTTTTCCTCCTACATCATGGTAGGAGACAGAGGACTCTTAAGTTGTTCTGATAGCCTAATGAAGGCTTCAGAGAAGTAGCAGAGTACATCTGTTTCCCCATCTTTCCAAGCACAGAAAAGAATTCCCCTGCCTTAGCAGAGAGCAGGCAGCAACTGTGAAAGTGATGCACTGAAATACAGAAAACTGAGTGTAGTGCAGGAATTTGGTTACATGCCTGTTTGCAAATTAATGGCTAAATCAATTAAATAAAAGCATGGGATTTCTCTTGAGGAAAGTCTAGTCACAATTGCAAGGAGAAGGGGAGGGGTTGTGGAGTGGGGATGACATAATCACATTTGCGAATCACCAGCAGTGTGCATGCTTTAATCCATTAATGGGGTTTTTATCTGTGATCATAAAAAGCAGGTTACATTCAGCCTGGAAGGGAGTGAGGGTTGGAGGAGAGGGGAGGGGAGAGCAAGAGAGAGAGAAAGCGAGAGAGAAAGAGAGTGCTATTCGCTCAGTGAATTGCTTGCAAGCTTTGGGCTGATAATTAGGGATCTCAGGGGTGCAGTTTCTCAGAATAACCTGCTTGCCTTCGGATGGACCAAATGGAGACAGTGGTTCAGTCCTGCTGATATTTTTAAAGCCCTCCTCGCAGTTTGATGGGCATTCCCAGTGCTTTTGTGCACGTCTCGGAGAGCGTTGACGTGGAAAGGAGCAGCAAGGAGGGGGAGGTTGGAGAAAAAAAACGGCAGCTCTTCTAAAAATACGGAGGGCATGTGAGAGTGCGAGCAGGCTGGGAAGGAGGGCGAGGGGAGAGCAGCTCGCACCATGGTCCTCGGACACTCGGAGATGTCCCTCCTGTGACTGGGTGCACCATGAGCATCTGGGAGGTGATCCTGGCTTTTGTGATGGTGGTGCTGATGCTTGTGGCCCTGCTGGCCAACGTGCTGGTGCTGATGTGCTTCTTGTACAGCGCCGACATCCGCAAGCAGGTCCCAGGATTGTTCATCCTCAACCTCACCTTCTGCAACCTGTTGATGACCGTCTCCAGCATGCCCCTGACCTTGGCTGGGATCATTTACAAGAGGCAACCGGGAGGAGATCAGATCTGCCACGCTGTGGGCTTCCTGGAGACTTTCCTCACCACGAACTCCATGTTGAGCATGGCAGCGTTGAGCATTGACAGGTGGATTGCCGTGGTCTTCCCTCTAAGTTACCACTCCAAAATGAGGTACAGAGATGCTGCTCTCATCCTGAGCTACACGTGGTTACACTCCGTGTCATTCCCCATAGTGGCAGCGTCTCTCTCCTGGGTGGGTTTCCATCACCTCTATGCCTCCTGCACCCTGTACAACAAGAGACCAGAGGATAGGACACAGTTTGTGATTTTCACTGGGGTCTTTCACACCCTCAGCTTCCTCCTCTCCCTTATAGTCCTGTGTTTCACTTATCTCAAAGTGCTGAAGGTGGCACGGTTCCACTGTAAGCGGATTGACGTGATCACTATGCAGACCCTGGTACTGCTTGTGGACATCCATCCCAGGTAGGTGCCTGTGTGCTCAGCAAGAAAGAATATTGGCTGCAGAGGAAGTGAGGACGGGGCTTAGTGTTATGTTAAATGCAGTCTGAGCAGTGTCACAGCAGGGAGGGACTGGGAGGGGGAGAAAACAAGCATCCTTCCTGCTGGTATCTGTTCTGCACGTTGAGTCCTACTTGTGTTTGTGTTTTTTCCGGCTGCAAAAACAAGTCTTCTTTCTTAGGAGCTTGTTTTGGGAGGGAGAGCAAAGAAACAAGCAGTTTTGGCTGAGCATGCATTTCCCTTTGAAACAGTGATCAGACAACTGCTCTTTGTCTCAGAAAGTGGATTTAGTGATTGATAGAGTCACAGATTTTAGCACTGTCAGCCTGAAACAGTGATTCTCGCTGAGAGGGAGCCCATGTCCCTGTCTCAGAACTGAGAGGGAAGGGGAGCTGGGGCACTCGCTGCTCCTCCAGCTATGTCCATGTTGCTGTGCTCTCTGTAACTTTATCTTTCCCAAAGGCAGCATCGTAAGGGAATAACATCTGCTAAATAGGTATGCTTGAATGCTTGTACGTAAATCCCACTGAGATACCTCAGTAGCAATGTTAATATGACAAGTGAGGGATGTAGAAAGCTCATTGCTAATGAGAGTCCTTAAGTGAGAGAATTGTTAGGAGAAAAGTCTCCAGGGGCTGGGAGAAGAATGGCAAGCACCAAGCAGGCACGGATGTGTGTCAGGAAGCTGTGCAAGAGTCCTGTCAGAGATGATGTGCGGGCTATAAATCTTGCATAAATAGGACATGTCTGGGTCAGCAAGTGAAGCAGATTTGGCTGGGAAAGGGAGAGTGGAAGAGACCTTTTTCCTGATCATTAAGGGATGCAGAGCTGTACAGTTGAAGGAGAGAAAGGTTTGCTGGATGGAAGCCCTGGGACTTGGGGCTGGTGAAAAGACAGCAGCAGGACTTGCCAGAGCAGTCTGCCTGGGAAAAGGGGAAATCAGAAATCAATCCACAAAGCTAAGGCAGGATGCACTGGGATGGAGTGGCTGATGGACCACAATACGCTCTGGGCTTGGAGGCTCTGATGAGTTGGGGTAGATAGGTTAAGGAACAGTTGGGACTGGGACAAGGTGGGAAAGACAGAGAGTGAGACGTGGGCAGGGGAAACGTGGGACATGGTTCAGTGAGCATGGTGGTGATGCATTCATGGTTGGACTTGGTGATCTTAGCGGTCTTTTCCAACCTTAATGAGCCTATAATTCTATGGTTCTATGAAAGCAGGGGTACTGGTTGTAGCATGGGAGGAAATGGGCCCAGTTTGCAGAGAGTTTCGCTTAGAGGAGGAGTGTGACTGGAGCAGGTGATTGGGAAGGAAAGGCTCCAATGGACTCACCTGGAGAAAGGGGGAGAAGATAGTTTGGCTATGGGGGATTGTGAAGGATGTGCATGATAACTAGGAGGCTGTCAGAAACTTAGTCTGTAAGTGCACTTTCAGCAAGGTGCTGGCAGCTGGGGAAGAAGAGAGGAAAGCCACAAGTAGATGAGGGGGTTGTCCCATAGTAGCATCCCACCTTGCAGGCTGGAGGCAAGCAGCAGCTCCTGTATTGCAGCCAACTGCAGGAGCGGAAGGAAGCGCATGTGGCTGTCCTCAAAATGAGGTCAGAGCTTGGGGATTCCTTAGCCTGAGGCAAAGAAGTCTGAAAGGATCAGGGCAGGACAGTGCTGTGTCGGAGGAACAGAAACATTTGCTCAACATTCTCAGTTAAGCTGTCTGATCCGTGTCTTGACCACAAATGTGGAGCAGAACTTTGGGTGACTCCTGTTCCTGCTTTTGAGAAACACATGTATAAATCTTCCTTTATCCACCAAGTCACAGAGTGGAAAAAACAGCCTCCTACCCCATATGCTGTCTGGTTTTCTAAACTGTATCCCAGTCACTCTTAATTCCTGCTGTGGGATGCTGTGGCCACTTGCAGTGCAGTGCTGCAGATGTGCTGGGGCTGTTAGAAGAAGCAATCCTTACACCTAATGCTTAAAGTATGGCTGGATTGTACAGAAAAGCTTAGAAAAAAAGGGCAAAAATCACAACGATATTCTCCTCCTCTGCATTTTTTCTTGTCTGAGTTAACTTGAAGGTATTCCTGCATTTCTTAATCGTCTCACAGAAAAGCAGGTTCATGGGGCTGTGGGTATCATACCCCTTCTTTAGAGGAGATGGAGTTTTACAGGCACTTTGCTGCTCTGTTGCTGCTATTCAGCTCTTACATCAGGCCATTCTGTAGGAAAGAGGACTTTTGATTTCTCTGGACTACAGCAACGATGGCTGATTCCAACCTACAGTGCTGCTGTCCTATCAGTGACAGCTGCAGCAGCTGTCAGATCTTAGGGCCAGGGCCAGATCTTAGACTCTACACAGAGGCTCTTCACAAAGTGATTTGCATTGAGTTATGTAAGTGGCACACGTACAGGAATGTTTAGTGTTTGTGATAGTATGTAACAGCAAAACACTGGGAGGCACTGGGAGGACGTACACAAGAGGCCAAAGTTTGCAGCTGTAGCTTAGCTTTCCCCTGGCTTTTGTGTGGTCTGGTTTCAAAGCTGAGAAATGTGTACAGACAATTTTCTGCTCCTTGTGACTCAGAATCCACCCGCCAGGGGTTCTGGGACAGGCGTTATGACAGATGGCTTTATTACCTGTGACTTGGGGAGGCACAAGTGATCTTCTGAAGATCATTTGAGATGAGTATGAAGGAAACCTCTAAATACCGCACAGAACCGTGTGAATGTTTAGGGCGCGTGTCCTTTCAAGTTAGCTTTGGCATTTTTACTGGGTACTGCTTTCTGGTACTGCTCTCTCTTGACTTTGTTCCCTAGACTGAGCTATCTGAGTTATTGTGAGAGGCTTGGGCAAGGATTCTCTTAAGTGCTTAACTCATGTATTTCTCAACCGAAATTATCTATGCTATCTTTTTGTGCATCCACCTCTTAAAGATAGTGGATCTTAAGTTTCAGTATCTCATAAGCTTTGTTTAAAATACCAAAGCTTCAAAGGGATGTATCTCAGATTTTCCAGGATATTAAAATCTGTGAATGAAAGCTTAGTCAACAATCCAGTTCTGTTACCAATGTCATCCGTGGAACCCATGTTTATGTTCTTATCTAACTGCACGAAAGAGGGCACAAAAGTAAAATACCCATCTGAGCACATGATCTATCTGAAGGAACAAGATAAAATAGTTTCATTTGTGATGTGGTATTTACTAGCTACATCTGGATATGCAGAACAAAAGACATCAGCCGAAGACTTCAGGACTTCCCTTGTCACACGTGAGCTCCTGGGGTCAATAACAGCTTTGTATACCAATTAATGAGTGGAGAGAGATAACAGAGGGAACTATTGGACACAAAAATACCCCTCCCCACCCTAACAGCATCCTAATTGAAATGGCTTTGGAAATTTTTTTCCTAAACTGATGTGTGCTTGGGATGTTATGAGTCTCAGCGCAGGTCTTAAGTGAAGCTGCTGAACCTCTGAGATCCTGTTTGCACCTAAAAGTACTCCAAGTTCTTCAGCTCCTGCAGAACTGGAAGCATAGGTTCCCTCAAACAGGTGGATTTCTTTTTTTACTGCTCAGCTGTCATTTTGAGCTGCATATAACTCAGATGTAGAACATGTAACACTGTTAGACACATTTGAGTTCTACTTAGGCATATTCTTTAAGAGCAAGGCAATTTGTTACTCCTTTTGTTCACTTTTCCATCATGGCAGTTGCTCTAGGAACTGGATGTAAGAGAGTAAATAAAAAGGAAATAATGAAACAGGTTTTTTTTTAGCCCAATCAAAAGATGACATTAGGACTGTCTGACACAGATAGCCCCAAAGCATCTTGAGATCCTCAGGACACAACACATGCTTAGATGTTGATCAGACATTTAGAGCAAACAGCACACAGGTGTGGTCATAAACCACACGGCTATTAACATATGCAAGCGTGGAACCTGACAATGAGTCATCAATTACAAATTTACAATAACATCAGAGGGAGATAAGCTCCAAGCTGTTACAACATGCTGTGCACGGGCCAGACCACCGGCTTCGCCCAAGACAAGTGGTTACTTTGCCACAAGGTATGTGCAATGGGCCCACAGGCAGCAACACTGCTATGTGCCTAGAGAGGGATTTGGGCAGGCAGCTTGGCTTTGGTTTCATCCTTTCCCAAAGGGAGTATGTTGGCAGATTCACCAGTTCAGGTGCAGATGGCTCTGAGATGTACAACCTGTACTTCCAATCCCACAGAAACACATGGAGAGCCACAGACACATCCCTGGGCTTCACCCAGCCAGCACAGAAGTTGCACAAGCAGGTAGAGGAGGATGGAAAAATCAGGACAGGACTAATTGGTGTCTGTTTGATTGGAAATAAGGCTGGTTTGAGCCTCAGAGTCAGAACACCTCAGCTTTTCAGATTTGTTGTCTAGGCTTTGCAAAGTGCTCAGCACGTGCACAAGCTGTTGTGGGATTTACAGCTGCATTATTCACAGCTACTGGATATAATGACTGCCCCAGTGTTGGGCTGACTGGTAAGAGCGTATTTTTTCCTGTTATGTTTTCATTGTGCTTTATTTCTTACCTCGCTGGGCTGTTTCTCCTATCGTGATATGATTGTTTGAATTGCCTTTCCTATGGAAGTAGGATGCTGCCTATCCCACTCTATTACTATTTTGTAAACCCTTGAATATCATTAGGAAAACTCAAATACAGCTTGCAGTGATTCAGAAAGGAGATGCCATTGGATTCAAGGCTGAATGCCACCAGCCTGTCCATAAATAAATCAATGTAATGGGGTGCATATGTGATATGAGTGTACATGCATGCATTTCTCAGTAATTGGTTTTGGAAGGTAAGGTCATGGAAAGCATTAATACTCACTCTTCTCCTGTGGAAATGCAATGCATTGGTTATTGAGTTGTGTGAAAGCAGCATGTACTGGAAGAATTGATTTATATTATTTCAGAAGTATAGCTGTTCAAGTCTGCTACCTGATATTATGATTCATGTTCTTGTTTGTGTTGAATGTTGCACAGTGTAAGAGAGCGTTGTCTAGAAGAGCAGAAGAGACGGAGGCAACGAGCAACAAAGAAAATAAGTACCTTCATTGGTACCTTTATACTTTGTTTTGCACCTTATGTTATCACAAGGTAAGCAGGAACTTATGTTCTGAAAAAATGGTCAGAAAATTAGGGCACTGAAACTGATGCAAGCTCCCTAAGAATGTTCTGTGTTACACTGCACCTACGAGAGATTCTACTTGCTGTGCCAACCACATTATATAGAATGTCACAGCCAGGCCAACCCCTCTGTAGTCTGTGAGCCAAGTCAATGGATGGCTTGCATGGGAGGGACTAGGGAGTTCAATCCCCAGCTGCCAGGAGATGTTGTAGTTATTTTTGGAGACCAAGAATTTTGGAGACCTCAGAATACCCCAGTGGGGTAGGGGGTGAGTTAATCCATAGCGTAGGACAGTAGTCTGAATAGGTCAGGATGCAGAGCTCAGATTTGAACAGCAGCTTTCTTGGACTGAATGCTTGGTCATAAACATCAAGTTAGTCTGGCTTATGGCTAAAGAAAATCTTGCAATTTATGTTCAGATGTTCCTATTTATCTAGCAGCTTATTTCTAAAAATGGCTCCTGTGGGAAACATAGAAGTAGTCCTATGAAACAAAATTGTTGGAAAGAAAGTATTTCTGGATTAGTGTTATCAAGTTGTTGAAAGGAAATTTACAACTTGTGCTCATTATTAAAACTCAGGAAAAACTGAAATACTGCTACGTGGAGCAGAGAAAGAAAAAGATATATACACCTAAAGCATCACCTATTCCAGTATTACTGGGCAGATATTACTGAGGCTGATGTCAGTCAAATTCAGAATTGCCAGAAAAAACCCCCACATTGAAAAACTGGAATTAAGACTCAGTGTAAGTGGGCAATAGAGAAACCCATTTTCCCATCACAGTACAATATCCTGAATTTCTGTTTCTAACAAAACAATTAACAAGCAGTCTTGTAGTCTCTTGTTAGAAAGAAAAAACTGCATGCCACATTAATTTTATGCTCATGATAATAACAGCTAATTGATCCGTGCTAATAATTTGTGACAATGTTAGGAGTACATTTGTACAGCATTATTAAATTTTTCTTCACCCTGACTTTACAGTGGCAAAGAGACCTTGCCCTGTGCTCTGAAAGGGTAAGAAAGGATTTAAAATTATGGGCACTTAGCCCTAACTGTCAGGCTGTAAGATATTAGAGTATGCCTTGCTTCAAGTGGCTAAATTTCATTTTATATCGGGTGTGTGAAGCTAATGAAAATCATCACAGGCACTGAATAGCTCTCAGCTCAGCCCTGATGACACCGAGCACTTGAGCCAGGGCTGTCAGAAGTATTTCTGTGCTCCTTGCAGCTCAGCCCAGAGTTCAGCCACCACCTTCCCGCTACCACCGAGCTCCGAGGCAGCCTGTGTGCCTCTAATCCTGAAATACAAAAAGGGGGGGGTTAGAAAAAACCTACCTGCTTCAATCCTTACAAGGTTCACTACACATTCACACAAGTCTTCAGACCGTGAAGGACCATGGCTTTTCTGCAGGGGGTGACCAGAAGAACTAAGGCTTAGAGTCCTAACAGTACAGAGATGCTTTGCACCGTGGTATCTGGAAGGATATTTGCATGTGACTGATGTCAAACCTACCAGGAGGAGGAAGCTTAGTTATGTAAGCAAGCATTCTTTTCTGGACTAAACCCAGAGTGTTTTGCACTTCACAAGATGGGGCAACAAGTCACTTTTCTAGGCAGTGAACAGAAGATAGCTGACAAAGCGTGTCATTCCCATGTGAACAGCAGGCTCAAAGTGGCACTCACTTCCATTAAACGTGCTCTAAACCAGCTGATGATTTGAGCAGGTACTGGATTACACTTATAACGTCTTTCAGCTTCCACATCAAAAGCCAGCAGTTGTCTGCAGCAGCCCACGAGCCAGGGATGGAGCCATGCCTAGAGCTGCAGTTGGACAAATGCCTCCCTAGGTCAACCAGAGTCTTTTTCAGCTTACATCAGGGTAAAGATCAGATTAGTCACCCATTTTGTCAAGGAAATGCCCATTTAATTAGTTCAGTGGCTGACCTTAAGTAATACATCGTAATAATAACAATTCTGTTATTGATTCAGTGTCTTCACATACCAGATATATGCTGGGTATTGCTAGGTATAGCTGGTTGCTTGATTTGGAAAAATGCTCAAGTAACACATCCCTTCTTTTGCTATATTTATTGTTATGTGATTGAAAACAGTGTTGAAAACCTGAATTCTCCAAGAAGCTTCTTCATGAGGAAAATCATAAGAAGTCATACTACTTTCCAATATTTGTGTCCAATTCCACACTTTTCAGACAAATCCAGAACTTTGCTCAAGTGATTTACTAAATGCTGTCAATTATTGGGCGATGGGCCCTAAATTAAAAATTCTGAAGTAATATTAGAAAAAGGTGTGCAGTCCCAAGCCCTTGGGTTAGGGAGAAGGATGGCAGAAGAGGTAGAAGGCTGAAATTCTCTTGTATCATCTTTGGGGAATGGGACAAACAAAATGCATTTTTACATTGGTTGGCTGCCCGCTGCATACAGATGCTGCTTGGGCACAAAGACAGGCAAACTCACAAATGAGTTCTGATCTATGTTCTTGCTTGTCTACTTATAAATGCACACTTTTCCTAAGTGTGCACTTATAGGTTGACATGTTTGAAGGCTTTCTAGGCCTCCTCAAAACTTCATATGACATAGGTGGGGGGTAGGAAGAGAGGTGACAGCCTTAAGCTGTGCCAGGGGAGGTTCAGGTTTTAGGGTAGTAGGAAAAAAGTATTTCCTCTCAGAAAAGAAGTGGGAACACTCATCATCTTGTTCAGCTTATTCATTAATACAAGAAAAAAGACCAAGGTAAAATTCTGATACTATGAGTCCTGTGTGAAATAAATAAAGAAAATCAGAGTTGGTAACAAGCAGAACTAAAATTAGGATTAGGATTATAAGCTTAAAGAGCCGATCCAAGTTCCTGCATTCCTGCTCTGTTTTGCCCCTGAACTTAACATAAACACTTGTTTGAGGACCTCCAGCCTATTCAGAGTTTTCTCTAAAACTCTGTTAATTTCTGAAGGGGAGTCAGTGCACGGGAGAGATGCTCCCATTATACTAGCTGCCCATATGGACCTATATATGGCCTGTAAAATATTTTACTAACGTGATAATCTGCACATGGATGTAAAGCATTTTCCCTCTGTGTTATCTGAATAAGAGTTCGAGGCCTTACTCTTCAAGGTGACATCCTTGTTTACTTCTGAAAGTGCAATAAAATAATTGGATTACCACTTGCCACCAAGTGCACCACGGAATTATGTTTCTAAGATATTAAAAAATTATCGTGGCAAAACAGTTTATAGTTTTGAAGTACAGGAATTGGGTATCAGACAAGTAGAAGGTGGCTTTTGAAAGCAAGTTAGGGAATTATGTAGCCAATGCTGTAGAATTTAATTTAGAGATAGCACTGAAATATTAATGCACCTTCACTGAAAACATCTTCCTGGCTGAAATGTTTCATGAAAATTGAAGCTATGCATATAATTTCCCTCATTAATGAGAAACAAAACCCTCTTTCAAAGGTAATAAGGTATATGACATGACTTGAAGACATTTAATTGTTTCTACATCAAATAGAATTGCATATCTTGGGGCTTATCTGCAGTTGTTTGTTGCTATGTATCTGCAAATGTCAAATATAATACACAAAAATGGCAAGATCTTTAAATGTCAAGGACACGAGGTAATAATTGAGGAAAATATCATAGATTCTGTTGATAAAAGTGCTGGATTTTTAATTGGTCAGTCACTGAGGGCAGAATTTGTACGTCTACACTTACAGTGTCCATGTGATGTGCTCTAAATGGAGACTGTTAACAGCTCATAGGACTGGGGGACAGAGGTTCAGACACAAATTTGTCATACCTTGATCATTCAAAGCATCCACTGTACCTAATTAAACTTAATCAAATTCAGTATCTGTAAAACATTTGACCAAAGTAAATCAACCACATTAAATTCAAGATGATAAAATTTTAAATGCAAAGAAGTCATTAAATATATGAAGAAGGATGGCTCACCATAGATTACAGAGTAAATATGACTCACTAGAAGATGAATATCCAAATATTCAAATCTCATTTTAGAACATATTTACATGAGTGTCATAGTTATGTTTTCTTACATGTCTGAATAGACCAGACCTCCAGCAGCCAGAGTAGAAGGTAATTGTGTTTGACTTTGGATGCTGCTTTGTAAAAAAAGATATCAACCACAAGTTAGAGGGAGAGGTTGGAAGAATGGCATTGACTTAGGCAAGATGAAAGGAGAGGAAAGTTATGGCAGTTCTTTGGGAACTCAGAGCACCTTACAGTGATGAGCTGAGACAAATTCTCAAGCATTTTCACATAGCATAGCCTGGTCAACTCCAATGCTTTACATGCCCCTGAGCCCATAACCCCAGTAGGTACTGGGCGTTCCTCTTTTCATACGCATAATACTTTCAGCCCTTGTCTCCACTGAAGCTGATCTCCCCAGAGAGCAGCACACGAATGCAGAACATTTCTGAAATGTCCATTGAGCTCAGTAAAGATATAAAGAGCCTGAAAATAATTTGTTCTTTGATAATAGGACATATTAATGTAAAGATGTTAATTGTGACAGGATGATATTTCTCGGTGAAACATGGTGGTTATCAGTGACTAACACTTAATTATTTGACAGTGAAATTAGGAGCATATAACATGAATTGTCGAACTTCAATTAGTTCCCTTTATCTCATGATTCCATGAAATTATTAATTTAATACAGCTTAGGCTCGCACTGCGTGCTGTTGCAGTATATGCATATTGATGCCAAAGAGGTGCTCAGAAACCATTTCAAGATGACAGAGAGGCCCTTGTAAGAAAGAACTTGCAAGAGCAGAAGTACCTCTTAGAGTGGTAGACATCCTAGCATTCCTGAGCACTGGGATGTTTTGAGCACTACTGCCACACTGTACCAAATTCGGGCTCCTCAGCCCCACTTTCATGCTACAGTGACTAGACCATGCCATCTGCCAGGGCTATTTTAAACAACAAAATGCAGGGAAACTTTACAGAATACAAACAAAATGGCTGAGGAAATCCTTATTTCTAAACCGCTTGAAATGCTAGCAGTGTTGGTGTTGATGCTGTAGAAATCACACTTGAGAATGCTCCTTGGAAATGGTCCTTTGTCTATGGAAAGGTTAGCAGATGAAGATTTTTCCAGGCAGGTTTAAAAACACCTGTATCTGAAGATAGTTGTCATCAAAGATCTCATTTCTATCACATAGTGGGGCTCTCTAGCAGCACATATGCCCTTTGGAATCATTCTCCTCTAGAAAAATCAATAGTTACTCAACAGCTGTAGAGACATATTGAACAGAGTTGCCCTTCAATGTTGTTCAAAGAGAAGGGAAAAGAAAATCTTGTGGAGTTATCGATATTGCACTGTCAAAAACACTGGAGGTCTCAGAACAAAGTGAACGGCCTGTGCTGGGCTGTGAGGTGCATATAAAGCTCTTCTCTCCCTCCCTCCCTTCCCAATAGCTTAAACGTTTTTCTGGGCTAGATTTATTACAATAGTATTTTTGGTCTCCAAATTGACCACTTTTAAAAGGTAAGATTAATTAAGCCATTTCTTAGTGAATAATTCTCCTTCCTCGTGTGCTTCACCTATGACTCAGTCAGACTATTCAAACGCATCACACTCCAGAACCTGGACTTGTAAATAATATGTATCACTGCAGGATGGTTTCACAGATACTCCAGAGATGAACTTGAAGGATGACTGTGGACCAGATGTTGTACTTTAACTTATAGCAATAGGGAGATATGACATCCACTGAACCCAGTGATGATGGTCAGTGTCTCGATCTAAGACTTAAGAACCCAAAGTTTTTGCAACACTAGTTAGGAAATGATGCTGGGCTACATAGAAATATATATACTATTATATTTGCTATTAAATGTGGTGTGCACAGCGGATTAAATGGTGCAGTTAAGCATGGAAGTCATCAGGAAATGTTTTTGGGGAAAGTTATACTCTTTTCATATCTTTCAGAGTTCAATCAAGTCTATGATGAGCTTCAGCTGCTAAAAACATGATCTTATGGCATACACAACTAGAAAAAAATTACAAGAAAACACTAAATAATAACACCAACAAAAAAAAAGAAATACCAACTGCAAAACTTTGCTTTCTAACAAGAGCTCTTACTAAGGCTGAAAACCCTAGAGTAACCAGAGAAAGTTACGCTCATTGCTAGTGTGCACAAATTTTGGCAGAGAGAATAAAACCATAATGGCTGGGGATATGTCATGCAATGTCTACTTGTAGACATTTTTCACAAGCAGAAAATTTTCTAGGGAGTGTTAACCTGCTCACCTCAGAGCATTTATGATCCTAAACACAGCATCCGCTACAGAGAAAAAAATAATCAGGGCAAGATTACTGCACTCTATACAGAGTAAACTGACCCTTTATCAACAATCTCGCTTTGATCACCGAGAGGAGTTGAAAATCCAGCTCTACATAGATGGTCAGACTTAATTGTTAGGCTTGTTAGTCTTGCAGTAAAAAATAAATAGGCTCTTCTAGAGCTTGCCTCATTCTGTTGGAGCTGTTGTACTTTGCATGCAGTTGTGCAAAAGATTTGAGGCAAAGATATGAAGAACCCTTTGACAAAGTAACACATTCAAGGCCGAATTCCAGCTTCAGTAAGCGTACATCTAAATGTACAAAGTGAAGGATGCCTCGAAGTTTACAGTTCAAGACATCTCAACAGGAGCTGTGTAATCCTATTTCGAGGAAACACACCCCAAGCTTACTTTTGCAGAGTCACAGAAATGTGTCCATTCACATTTTCATGAGTATGGCGTCTTTTTTCCACCCTTTTGTTGTCTTGCAAATCCCTGGAATTTGGGGAGGGGTGCGTCATTGACTTCTCATTGTGCTGCTGGAATACTCACTCTTTTAACCTTCCTCTTCCCACAGACTTGTTGAATTATCCTCTTCGATCCCCATCAACTCCCACTGGGGAATTATCTCCAAGTGCTTAGCTTACAGCAAAGTAGTTTCAGACCCTTTTGTTTACTCTTTGCTACGGAATCAGTACAAGAAGACATGGAAGGACATCATAAACAAGATCCTCAAAAGGAGCTCCATCAACTCCTCTGCCCTCACGAGCGAGTCGCACAATCGAAATATATTGCAGCTGAATGAATGAGGAGCCTTCCTCGTGGGTATGGGATCTTCCAGAAGCATTAAATGATATACGAGAAACAACAGTAACTGGCCTATCCCTAGTAGCTATCCTCAGCTGTCAAGGCTTTGGGAAGTGGTCACAGGGGCTGTGTCCCTTCCACAGCCCTCATACACCCACGGGAGGCTGCTTTGAGCCTCCTCTCTCCAACTGCAGTGTGCTATTGGTGCGTGGCCATGCAGACTTCACCAAGACCAATCTCCCATTGATTTCCATCCGCAGTTACACATAGAGTGAAAAGCTGCTCCTTGGTGGGAGAGCTCATGAGAGTAGCAGGAGCAGAAAGGTGAAACAGTGAGATTATTTTTAAAAAAGCCACACAGAAATATATCTGTGCCATGTTCTTCTCTGGCTGCAGATCAGGGTCTTTCTGATGGATCTGCCAGCTTTACAAAACAACCTCAACCTGATTGCTTCAGCAGGTACCCTACAGTAAAGATCTTAATAGGAAAATCCGAATAGCAAAATCTTTACCTGGGCACTCATACAGTGACCAGTATAGCTTTCAATCTCATTTGGTACATATCATTTGAACAATTCTGTAGAACTGAGTGAAAAGAAAATCTCTTTTGAGTACATTACAGGCTGGATTCTGATGTGTCCTCTAAGTAACTTTCACAGAATTCTATTACTTTCCTCTTCATTAAATTTTAAAAGACTAAAAAAAAAAAAAAAGGTAGATAAATAGGATGGAATGGTTAGGATGCCTCCTGCCTACCCTCAACCCCCTTTTTAGGATTTCTGAATTATGAAGAGATGAAATGTGTCCCAAAGCTGCAAAAATCAAGAAATCAAGAATAATAATTAATTGGTTGTCCCTGCTATGATTTTAGTAATAATTCATAATACAACTTGCATCAAGAAAATGTGTCCTCCTCGTAATATCTTGAAATTATTTTCTGGTAAAGGCCTATTGGTCTCAGAGGCTTTACATTTGTACTTTGATAGGCAAAAGACTTGCAATCAATTCTGACCATAACTCTAATCATTTGTCTCCAGCAAAGTCCACAAGGCACAGGTAAGATAACATAAGAAATTTTTACCTAATACATCAAGAAACTTTCTGTTCAATGGTCATAAAGTACACGAATTGTTGGTAAGGTGAAACAGCAAATATATCACATGCCCAGATTATGAATAGTCTTGGCTTATCAGGTTCCATGCATGCAGTGGCAGTTTATATAACAGCTGTCACAGCTGGCTCTGTTAACATTTATTCTTCCTTATATTCCCACTGTAAATACAGAAATCAGAATCATATTGATGGAATTACTTTTTAGCTGTGTCCTCCAAGCAAAGGGCACTGGATGGCGTCCATAGCTCTGCAAAAGACCTTCCCTTTGCTTGGAAGATACAAGAGAAAGTATCTAAATTAGTATATTCTGCTTCGTTTATGATAAACAACCAGTATCAATCATTTTGCAAACCTCGGCATACTCTGTTTTACAAGTTCCACCATGAATATTTGTCCTTTAACACGACAGACGTTACGACAACAACAATCGCCTTGATATCTTGCAAAAAGCATCTGTTGATGTTGCTCACCATCAGTTCAAAACCTGGATAGGTAACTCGGTGAACCCCAAAGTCAATATATTAGGGGTAATAACTTGGGAGCTGGCGTGCAGAGCCTTGCCTTAGCCCCACTCTCTGGCATGATATCACAGCTGCAAGGAAAATGTTAATCTAATGTTAATCTCATTGCCACCTGTGTTGTAAATGCAAGATTTAATAGAATGAAGATCAGTAACAGTCACGTAAATAAAAATCTTCAGCTTAGCTATCCAGTTTAGTTATAAAATTACAGCATAAATAAAGTAAAATACATACACAAATATAGTCATGGGATCTATGGGAACTGTGTTCAAGGTTAGCCATTAGTCATATTGCATTGTCTACCTCATCTTAACCGTTGGACTTGTTAGGCTTAATGTAATTTTCTCAGGTGCAATAAGTAAAAAGACCCTGTTTGACACTTGTTTCTTACGAAATTCAAGTTGTTTGGATAACTTTGTTGTATCCTGAAAGGACATTACAAAGCTGTCAGAGAGGGTCCAGAGGAGGGCCAGGCAGAACAGGCTGCCCAGAGAGGCTGCGGATGCCCTGTCCATCCCTGGAGGTGTTCAAGGCCAGGTTGGATGGGGCCCTGGGCAGCCTGGTCTGGCATTAAATGTGGAGGTTGGTGGCCCTGTATGTGGTGGGGAAGGGGATTGGAGATTCATGATTCCTTGAGGTCCCTTCCAACCCTGGCCATTCTGTGATTCTGTGATTATTAGTGAGCTTAAAAAGGTAAAATGCATTGTACCAAGATGTTATGTATTTGACTTATATACATATATATATGTGTATAAGACCCTTTCTATGTAAGCAAATTAGAATGAGGTGGTAGTTGAAGTCCGTAAGTGTTGCCAGTTTATACACTGGGCTGCTGCCAAGTCAAAGAGAGGTTTGCATGTTGATAAGTTCAGCCCCAAAGGGGTTTCACATTTTCAATCCATTATTCCAATAGAGAAAAATAACTTCCCAGAAAAAAGAAAAAAAAAAAAAAGAAAGAAAAGCTACTGTTAGAATGACTGGTAAAAGGTGGAGAAGAATATAGCATCAGACTGTGTATCACAGTCAGTCCCTGGTTGATTTATGTGTCACCATGAGCAATAAATCTCTCCCCTTGTATGCATTTAAAGCTTTGTCTTTCTTTCATTGTGCCTTTCTTTCAAAATTAATCTCATAGCAGAGAATAAACATAATTTCCCCTTACTTACACCAGATCTCTGACACATTGTCATATTTCTACCATCTGAAGCAAGAGGGAGCTGCGCATGCTGGCGCTTGGCAAACTGCCTCCATATACAAACAAAAATAATACCCTAACGTTTCCAGATGACATTTTATAAGATATAGAAATATGATACTGTGGCTCGTTAAGTGCTAGCTATTCAGCTGGGTTCTTATAGGCAACCAGCAAAATCTTCTGAAATGTCTGTCTAAGTGATGAATGTAGCTATGACTAACTACGTGTCTGCTGAGTATTGTATGTACTGTACAACACTTTCACTCCAGTGAGTTAGAATAACGATGGCAGACATAATGCTCAATACTTCATTATCTCTGATCGTCAGTCGGAACCGTTCTCATGTCAAACGCCCATGAGAGGGTGCGTGCGAGGGCTGGGTTTTCCATTTGTTATTTAAATGTTTTTGGAAAAATGTTGTAAATTACAGCTACAATGTGCCCAAAATATGGAACTGCATGTGCAAAGCTTGTGCAGCTGCTTAGGCAATATGCAGTTGTCTGTTTGGTGGTATCTGCAATCCATATGCAATATCTATTTTTCACATGCATGTCCAATTAACATTTTCTTCCTATCTTGTAAGTTTGGCAGGCAGAACACTGGCAGACAATTAAAAGTATTTAACCCAGTATGTCATTTTGCAGATTCTGAGCTTTTCCCGCTACTCATCTTACAACCATATATTATTTATATGATTTCAGAGCCATAGTTGTGAACGCCGTTTTGTATTACATTTTTAATCCAGTTTAGACGTGGAGATTCAGGTAATTCCATTTGGCAGAATGCATAAGAGAACAAAATGAGTTTATTGAGTAAATAAGCAGTACCAAATCCACCTCCAGACATAAATCAACGTAATTACTGTTTCAGTTGACGATTCAGTTCCATTAGATAACTATATCCAGATTTTATACCTCTGACTTCTAGGTGTGTAAGGCCATGTCTTCAAAGGTATTTACACATGACAAGATGTAAACAGGATTTGTTGAGTTCCTTGTGAGTGTAAGTGCTCATCTGTAGCGTTAGGCAGCCATGAGACCCATCTTAAATGAAATCTATCCCCATTGTTACTCCTTTTTGAGTTAAAAAAAATCCTCAAAACTATGTTTTTGATGGCCCCGAGCCATACTTTCTACAGCACCAAGTTTTATTCCTGAAATGATCAAGCCTAGACAGTTTGAAAGTCCCAGACAACTCCTTATGAAGCTGAGGACTTCTGCAGCAGTACCACATGCATCATATTGTTCCAGAGCAGCTGAGAGTGGAAGGGACCTCCGGAGGTCATCTTGTCCACCTCCCAAGAGACAATCCCCACCTCATGTTGCCATCTCAGTTTTGCCAGTACACGTGCTTACTCTACAATAGTGCTGTGAGATGATAGTAGTCCACATCAAAAATAAAATCTTCCTAGAAATTAGCTGGGGCTTAGACTTGACATCAAAAACAGCTGCATCAGTGCAAATTCAGAGGTTACTATATTGGGTCAAAAATATGATCGAGAGGCTTGGGACCAGAAAGTTTGTGAATTCCCATCCTTATTCTGTTGCAGTGATGTGCATCACCCAGGCTGTAGTGGTCATTTCCCTAATGACCTGCTCCCAAACCAGGACTTTGCCAGATCTCACAGCCATCCACTTACCCCAGAGACAGCATTTCTGGTAAGGCTGAGTAGCTGCCATGGAGGAATCCCAGTCTCCACAAGCAGCACAGTCTCCATGGAAGAGTCTGGTTGGCTTGGGAAGGCTTAAATAACTTTCAGGTGGGATGTGTGGGAAAGCCTCACCTTGATGGCCTGAAACAAGCTCCACCTGGGTGAGTCTTGCTTTGGGAGACAGCCTAATTTTTAAAGCCCCAGAGGCTTGGGTCATTTGTGTGAAGAAAGCTTTTTTCTGGATTTACTTGACTAAATTCTCACAGTTCTCTCACCACCTCTTAATGCTGAAGAAAGGCTCTGAGGTCCAGTCCACTGCGCAGTGAATCCTTTGAAACAGCCCACTGGAAATTGCTCACTTTCTACTGCTCCCAGGACCATCTTCTCCCTCACCTTCTTCTGATTAAATAAAATTTATGTTGAACCAGACCAGAGACTTCACACCCATGTCAGTATACATCTCAGTACACAGTAACAATCCCAGTATATTACTGCACAACACGTTCAGCACAGAAAGCTCAGTTAGGTCAGTGGATCCTATGGTTTTTGCTTCAGGAGGCCCTGGGTAATTAGCTCTAAACATAGGCTTCCTTGTTTGTAGATTCAGGGACTATATAAGCTACTCTAGCCTGAACAGGTGAGACAATAATAACAGTTTAGCCTTAAATTTATTATTATTTTTTTTTTAATTTGCATGTTATGCTTTGATCCAGAGCACTAATTATATCTCAGAATCTCTGATGGATGAAGTTTCTCCATCAACCATCCTTCTCAAACAGACAGCTGTCCTTTTTAGGAGGTATAAAAGTTTACATGGAGATAAGAGCTGCTGCAGTCTTTGTACTGTCTACTTCTTACCTGTAGTCCTGATGTGTACCATGTAAATATGTATTTAGAATTGTTGGTTTTTAAGCAAATGATGCTGATCTAATGAACAAGAGGATGCTATGGTTTCCCATACAAGTCTGTATTTATAACTGAGATGGTTAGCCCTTTAGACTGTAAGTGCAATTCAGAACTTTGTGTGTTGAGAAGCAAATGTATCTGCTGTATGACAGCATGCACGTGTGATAATTATATAGTAAAATACGTTAGTTTTGTTGAAGAAGATTGTACATGGTTACAACATATCCAAAGGCCTGAGTCCACACGGCTGATTAACAGTCCTCAAAGATATGTTAGAAAAAGGATCTCCATTTGGAGCTTACTGAATGCTGGGAAACTCTTTTCTCA